TGATGATGCTACAACATAGTCCAAGTCTGTTGACCTGAAATGACCTTTGACCTTAACTTTGTGATCTGAAATTCTACTCACATAATTGGGGATACTTGATTACCATATAGTCAAAGTTTTATTGACTAAGAACTTATACTTTCAAAATTATATCAAAAATTCAAAAACTTAACCTTAGTTTAAGTTTTTGATGTTGACGCCGCCGTCGCCGCCGCCGCCGTCACCGTCGCCGTCACCGGAAAAGCAGCGCCTATGTCTCGCTTTTTGCTACGCAGGCGAGACAAAAATGAATAATTTTATACCTATAAAGGGGTATGTTGCATTTCTTTGATTGTGTCAGTACGCCATTCTGAAAGCATGGATACAACCACAAAAATTTATCTATGGCAAAATTATTTCTCCAAGAACTAAATCCCTGAAAATGAATCATTCACATATCAAAATGGGATGTCCAATATATCATGTCACAATTAATAGTGTTGGTTTGTCACTTGCGACATTTTTAGCAAATATTAAATTCTCACCATTGTTATCTTATCCATGATGCGGAAATACCCAGACACAGTATGCGCTGACATCTTGTCGTCGATTTGTAGTGACTTTTGTTTCGCAAAAATGTGCTGTCCGACCAATTTTACCGCATCTTCATCGTATGCTTCGAAGGTGACATCCACAAGGAAATTGGTGTTCATGTTATAGTTTCTGTTAATTAGCCTGTTAGAAATATCAATGGCCACTTTCTTTGTTTGAGATGCAGTAAAGTATAGAAGGTAGCGGAACTCTGCTGCTCTCTTAATCACATCATTCATTGCCTTTTCATACTGCTCGTGTTCAGACTCAAAACGAGAGGCAAGATACATGCCAGCAAGGTATTCCTGAAACAACTTATGAGGGAAGAAGACACTTACTGTTACAGGAATTGTCATGTTTTGATGTCTATCTTGTCTAGGAACTAATCGGTTTTCTTGGCTTAGTACTCCAACTCTACAACATGTCTCCATTGCTTCTTTACATGAACTGAAATCCTTTTTGGCATACACCAATTTCTTGTCCATGACTCCAGATAATGCAATTTTCCCAATTTGTGTGAAAAACAAGCCGAGCTGTTCATAAGATCGAGTTACAGTTTCCGTATCAAGATCTGTGACCTTTTTGGAAACGTAGTGGTCTTTAAGGGATATGATGATTTCTTGGAACAACTGAGAAAATGTCTTCAGCCTGCAAATTAATTCCCGTTTCTTGCTATCAGAATCCCGCCACAAAATACAAAGCATTGCAATATAAATTGGGAAGGGAGCCATGTTTTCTTTAATTACATCATTGTCTTTAATGAGTTTGATCAAATCTTGACTTGCCTGAGAGTCATCCGAAAAATATTTATTGATATAAATTGAAATATGTTCTTTATCAAATCCGGCCACCCCAATAAAAGCATATGTTCTCCTAAAATTTGCATTTGATTTTATTTGGTCTGCTTTCCAAGGTCGTGTTGTAACGAGGACCCTGCATTCTTTGAACTTTTCCGACCTGATTATCTTAGCAATGTCGTTCTCTTGTTTGACAACATCATCGTCGTGCTCATCCAGCCCATCAAATATAATGAATACCTTTGTGGGATTAGCCAATATGTATTCGTCGATCTGGTGTGGTTGTACCGAGTTACTATCTGAGAGATATGTCTTTGCGATATCCCCTACTGTTTGATTCCTTTCGATGTCACGCAGAGGAATAACAAGAACCCAGACAAACTCTTGAAAATCATCAGCTCCATTCGTCCAGTCCCATGCCATCTTGGAACAAAATGTAGTTTTACCTGCTCCTCCTTCACCTTCAACCATTAGACGTTTTGGTAATTCCCCGTTTACCATTGTTTTGAGAAGTTCCTTGTAGTCTAAGGGTATCTTCTTCGTTGTTCCCTGTTCGTTTCTAAGAAGAACTAAGTCAGTGTAAATCTTTTCAAATTCTAGAACTAAGCTGAAGTCAAGTGGGTCTGTCTTGATCTTGCATAACCGTGTTCGGTAGAAAGTTTTGAAGTCATCAGCACAACGGGTAACCTGTTCAGATGTGAGATGAACTTTTTCACTCGCGACGGATGCTAGGGGAGAAAATAATAATAATCTTTTAAATGACGCATTATTTGTCTATTCTGTATGCACCAACCAACATATGTTTTGTGTGCTTTTTCATTTACGCATACGCAGTTCAATTTTTTTCTGTTTCAATAGTGTACAGATCAATTTTAAAATTTACTCAAGGAAACAGGGTAATAATTAATGCGCCTCGGAATAGAATTTCTAGATAGACGGCGCTATAGAAATGCTTATAATTATTCATTATTATTATTAATATCATTTCTTTGATAAGGTTAATAAAGGGATAAAGAAAAAATATTTCACATGTTTATAATATAATACATGACTGTGCTCTACAGGTTCATTCAAATTTTCAGAGTGCAAAGCTACGATTTTGTTTTCTGTTTTCCTGTTTATAATAGTCTAATCGCAAAATAAAATTTATGATGGTTTTAGTATCAAGTGATCTAGTGTTAGGACAAAATCGGAATGAAGCTAACAAATAAAGAAAATTTGAAATGCAAACTTTCTGAGTGAACTCTACTTTTTTTCTGTATTTCATCCAACACCTGATTACTGGTACGTAAATAGACCCCTGTACATTCAGCGATTAAATAACAATTATACACCGGTTCAGTTCTCAGCCTACTTCTGAAAAACCAAAAAAGTCTAATCATGAATTAATTATCACTGATTCGAGACAAACTATAGTGCTGCATATACTGCCAACATTTAAAATGAATGTATTTAAACCCAGCGCATTTGAGTTATCAGGAATTAAAAGTGAAATTTTCAATGCCTTAACAAAATAATACTTGCTTACCAGTCGGAGCTGCTTCTTGCGGGAGATAACCACCTGTTGGAAAAATAATTGTATAATCATGTTGTTTTTTCTCAAATGAAAAATCTCCATACCAATTCAGCCAAATACTTATTTTCAATTACATTTGCATTGCATTTCTGCTTATAACAGTTACCTTCAACAATTTGTCAGTTCATATAGTATCCCCCCCCCCCCCCCAAGGAATGACAATAATGCATGACTAATGAACGTAAATTAATGAATTGATATAGAACAATATTAAATGTCCAGAAAAAGTCTTTAAAGTGCATTTCAAATAAACAATAACTTTACCTCTCGACATTTTGTCACCGAGTGCATCCAGGTTAACACCACGGAGCGTCGCAGTAATAACTTGACGACAATTTGTGCCATCTCTCTGTCTGTCCTTCCACTCAAAGAAAACCGCATTCAGTGATCTTGTGGAATCTAAGAGATTTCTGTCAAGAATGGTTTGGCTCCGATTGTACGATATACCAAGTCCAATGCACAGCTCTGTGTATTTTGATGGAGGTACATCGTAAGCCAGGTTTAACAGTTCTTGTTCTTGAATATTCGCTGATCTGAGTAAATAAGAAATTGGGAAGATAACACACATTTGTTCTTGTATGTCTGCTGATCTGTTTAAGAAATGGGAAATGATAAGTACTCTAGAAAAATAAACATGCGGAAGAATGAACATAATCGCAGAGCAGTGTATCAAAGCGTTATATTCACCAACGAGTAGTATTGCCTGGATTACATTTGGCCTGCGATTAGTCTACGGAGCCCGTATCCTGCCCGTATCCCCCTTTCCGTGCGGCCTCAGTACGGAGGCAGGAGGTGGCCGTGAATTTTCGTATGGATTCACAGGCTCCGCGGGGCTCTGCGGCCAATACAAAAAATGGCACGATGCTCGTAGATAATGTAAACACAAACATCGTAGCCCGTAGCCTCCAACAATGACCTAAAAATCGCACGAAAAATTGTAGATTTATTTATCGTACAGCGCCCGGGGTTAATGTAATCCAGGCATAACTGGCCTAACTAGTGTTTAATAGTGGATGGTTTTACTCTGCTATCGATAGTTATATTATATAGACGTGGGAATGATCTCTGGAAACTTGAACAATCTTTTATACGAGTCCAAGTAGGATCCACTCAGGTCTTTTAGTGACAATGTTTTCTACCATTGAGTGTTCCAATTTTAACGCATTTTCAAATTGATATGGCAATTTGGCATGGTTGAAAGGCCAGGTGCTTTCGGCTGGATTTTAAGGATAATAATAACAATGTATCTATATAGAGCTTTTCCCATATACACATATACATGTACCTCTTTTTCATTTCCTTCGATTTTCCATTGATGAACATTTGTTTGACGTTATGTTTTAATTGGATCTATTAGAATGTAAAGAATCACTTTTCATTCGATGAGATGTAAACAAACTGGTATTCCAGAGTGTATGGACATTTGTGGTTAACATATGAAACTTTTTTGGATTGTGGTAAATCACCAAGAAAAATGGAAAGATAACAAATCATTAGATGTCTTAAGTACTGCCCCTCACCCTTCAACTAAGAAAAGAAAAAGAAGGGAAGAGCAAGATGTCTACCTGTCGAATGGACCTGGATTTAGCTCTACATCTCCAGCCTTTATCAGGATCATCTCAGGGAGGCAGGTGCTCTCTTGCATGACAGGATCATCAGTAGTTCCTTTCAGGCGGCTTGAAATCTGCCTCGAAATACCCTGTTTTCCGTCAGATAGTGCCTTTAAAAGTTTGTGGATAAGCTAAATAAATCTACAATGAATATGTGCTCATACGTCAATTGTAACTGAAGAAACTAAATATGAATATAGATGTATAGAAAACAAAATATCAATACAATTTTATGGTAGAAAACAAAAGTTTGTCTGATCTAATACAAGTTTTCAGTACTAGAATATTAAGTGTAGAAGTTAAGAATTGTATACATGCATTTCTACACATTATGCCTGCATACATGTATTTGGTGTGGCATTGGGCGATACAGATGTTTTTGTTGTTTAAAAAGAAAAATTGTACACCTATCTCAAGACTGTTGAATGAAATCAGAGTTGAATAATATTACCTCATACGTACCTTTTGGATTCCGGATCTTATGGTATATTCTGCCTGCGCGATGTTCACTTTCTTGGGTTGATTGTTGTTCTCTTCAGTAGGAGTTATAGATGGAGTGTTGTTCTCTTTAATAGCAGATTTATTTGTAGTGTTGCTGTCTTTGATAGTAGATTCACTTGTTGAGATGTTGCCTTTGATTGGAGATTCAGTCCGAGTGTCATTCTCTTTGATGTTACATTGAATTGTAGAGGTGTTGTCTTTGATGCCAAGTTCAATGAGAGTGTTGTAGTCTTTGATGCTTGATTCAGTTGTAGTGTTGTTGCAATTGACGGTTCCTTCAGCTGTAGTGTTGTGGACTTCGATGGTAGATTCAGTTGGATTGTTTTTCTCCTTGATGGTAGATTCAGATGAAGGGTTGTTCTCTTTAATGGTAGATTTAGTTGGAGTGTTGCTGTTTGTGATGGTACATTCAGTTGTAGAGTTGCTGCCTTTATTGACAGATTTAGCTGTAGAGTTGTTCTTTTTCATGGTAGATTCAGTTGGAGATTTGATGTCTTTGATAGCAGATTTGGTTGAGGTGTTGCTGCCTTTGATGGTAGATCCAATTGTAGTGGTGGTCCCTTCAATGTGAGATTCAGTTGCGATATTTTGGTCTTTGGCGCTTTTTCTCCTTGATATTTTTCTCTTTGATGATTTGTCTTTGATTGTAGAAGGAGTGTTGATGGCTTTCATGGTAGATTCAGTTTTAGAGTTGTCTTTGATGGCAGATCCATTTGGGGAGTTGTTTGCTTCGATGGTAGATTCAGTTATAGTGTTGCTTGATTTGTAGGTAGATTTAGTTGCACCTTTTTTCTCTACGGTGGTTTTTCCCTTTAATTTTAAAGGTTTTCTCTTTGCTGTATTTCTCTTTGAGGGTTTGTCTGTCATGGTAGAGGGAGTGTCGATATGACATTCTTTTGGAGGGATGTTGTCTTTAATTGTAGATTCAGGTAGAGTGCTGTTCTCTCTTATACATGTAGTTAATTCAGTTGTAGTATTTTTCTCTTTGATGGTACCATTCATTGGAAAGTTGTTGCATTCTTTGGTAGATTCAATTGTAGTGTTCTTTTCTTTGAGTCTGGATTCAGTTAGAGTGTTGTTGTTTCCAATGATAGTTTCAGTCTGAGTGTTGTTGACTGTGATGGTAGATTTGCTGTTTTCTTTGAAGATAGCTTCACTTTGGGTGTTATTTTCCTTAATGTTCGATCTGAAGGTAGTTCCAGTTGTAGTGTTGTTCGCTTTGGTAGTAGATTCAGCTTTTGCCTTCTCATCCCTAACTAGCACCTGATTATCTTGCAAGTCCTCATTGTTTGTTATTACGTATGACAAAAGAAAGTAGGCTAAACTGCTGCACATAATGATTATTATAAGACATGTACTCCTCCAGGTAGATTCACCACCCCAGTTCAGCCAAGGCTTGGAACTCTCTAGCAAATCAGAAAAATCAACGACAAAGAAGAACATCAAGGATACCAATAAAGAGAACAACAGTAACAGGTTGAAGAAAAAAGGGAATGTAGAGTGAGTTCCATTGCTCTTATGATTTGTGGCAGATTCTGTTTGAGTGGTACCGCTGTCCTCTTTGTGAGAATCATTTGTGGTGTCATTATTAATATCAGATTCATTTAGGGTATTGTCCACTTTCACACTCAAGTCGTTTGGCTTGGACTCGCATTCATTTTCTGATTTTTCCTTCTTTTCAAGAAGCCTCTTTTGCAATAACTTGAGTCGCCGGATTCTCTCCTTCAATAACTTTTCTTTTTGCTCTCTTAAAACGTCTTCCCTGACCCAATGTATGAATCTTCCTATCCGCACCCGCCATTCACCAAGTGAAACAGGCATGTTGGATTCGTTTAGGAATCAAGCTTCTGGTTAACTGGTGTTCATAACCTAATGACAAGAAAAGAGATAAAATGTACATGTTAAACGTATCAATTCATTGTAAAATGAAGGAAAGCTGTTATTGTGGTTAAAACATATACATTTAATTTGTTATTAGGCCTGCAGTCCTACCTGCTATTTTGTAAACTGGGATCAAGCTCTATTAATCATAATTATGATAAAAGTTAAATTCTCTCTGTCTGTCTGTCTGTCTCTCTCTCTCTCTGTCTGTCTGTATGTGTCTCTCTTTCTCTCTCTCTCTCTCTCTTTCTCTCTCTCTCTCTCTTTCTCTCTCTCTCTCTCTCTCTCTCTCTATATATATATATATACATGTATATACCCCTAAACAAGTTTGTAAACTCAAGCTGGAACGATTGTAGCTCTCTTATCATGGCATAATCATCGCTTTATTATCATTATAAAGTGTGTTAATTCTTTGTTAAAATCATACCATATTTGTTATGGTGTTGCTGCCATGGAGTGTGCATTAAATTAGAATAAGATGCAGGGTAAAAAGTGAAAAATTGCCAACTGTCCCATTTGCAAGCTAAAAAAGATGAATAGGTTAAATTCCAACGGCATTTGAAAGAATACTAATTTAAAACTTCCCTCAAAACGAAAGGGCTTGAAAATGTGTTTAAATTTGGCCATTACAAGAAGTGGGTTATTGATGTAGACAAATGCTCATGTACCCTTTTCAGCTCATTTTATGTATGTTATTTCCAAAGAAAAAAGAAGTTATTCAGTCACTCAATAGTGTCTAACAGTGAAGTCTAGAAAAGAAACGAGTTTCCTTGCATAATTTGATTTCTAGGACAGTTGCTAACATTCATTTACACAGATAAAACATGTACGTGGCATATTCATAATTCCTGCAAAGTTCTACAGAATTTGATGTTGGCTGTAAAAAGGGATACACCACTTGTATTGTTAAGCAGAGCACTCTTCTTTCTTTGACATTTAAGAGAGTGTGATTTTTGTAAATGACATTGGGGCTATTAATTGTTCCCAACTGGTCATCCATGAATGCCGAATTCTAAAGAATCTAAAATTGAAATTTATGCACTATGATGTCATGTCAGTCAGTTTAGCTTCTCTTTGGTCATCAACTATCTAAAGCATCATGTCTAGGTAAACGACTGTTGAAAAGGCACAGGCAACTACAAAAAACATCACGACAGACAAATTTTCTGCTCCTTAGGGCCCGCCAGATTCCCCAAAGGGCCCTTAAAATTGGCACTTGATCAAACGAATGAGTTACAACTTCAAACCAATTTTACCATCTGGAAGCACCACACAAGGCGGGCACGCATTGTAAAATATTTTTGCAATGTTTTCTAACTTATGGCTTTTACTCAATTTCTTATTTAACAGTCAACATGAACAAATGATTCTTGAAGTCTTGCCGTACCACCATGAATCTGAACCATTGAACTACATACACACTATCATATGCTTCAGGTGGACATAAAGGGGTTGGGAGTAGCATTTTATTAATAATATCAGTTGAATTTACCATCCATTGGGGCTTAACTGCAGAATAATTCACCGTCCATGTTTATGAATTAGGGTTGGGGTCAGGGAAGGGGGAAGGGTTAGTACTAGGATTAGGGTTGTAATCAAGTTACATTCAACCCATTCAGCTCATTTTGGATGATCAATACATCCAGCTTTAAATAGGTTAGCATGGAAAGGCAAATTTATGATGGAATAATTGGCCAATAATAATATACCGATATGAAGATTTACCTTTTTAATTTCAATTTCATTGTCGATTTCATTTTTGTTTCCAACAAACATTTACAAATCAACTATAATCATTTACAAAGATTAAGGAATACATATTGGAAACGGACGGGTCAACTTAAAAAGCAATGCTTGTATAATTGTGGACCCCTCAAATAATAGTTAGGAATAATGAGTAATTGAATTTAAAAATGCATAACTAAAAAAAAGGAACGAGAAAATAGTAGAAAAAGGGGAAAAGGGGATGCCAACAGAGATGAGAACGGGACCATCTTCTTCCCCTGATTATTAACCATCTTTCACACTTAATGCAACTTTTGATGAAAAATGCAGACAGAGCAAACGTGACAAAGACATATCCATACTGCCCCTCCCCCCTAAACACACATCTAACACACATCATGAGCACACACATCATGAGAAACCCCCCCCCCCCTCCCCCGTAAAAAAAATTAAAAAAAAAAAAAAAAAGAATCTATGTCCCTCTTGCCCCCTCTAACTCACGCTCTTGCTCCACTTCACCACTGCATGACCCCTCGGCCTCAATATATACTGCCACCAACTGACTAATACAGTCAGAGTCAGACCAAACACCTAAACAAAAAATAAAGCACATATGAAACAGACTTTAGTTTGGGTATTCCATGATATATATTCCATGATATATAAATACCTCCTACAAAATGTGAGGAAAAATTGGGTTGTGTGACACATGCTCCTATATTTCACCACAGAAATTCTTGAACTAACTGGGGGGCGTTTCATCAAGAGTTTGTAAAGTTACGCATGACTTTACGAATGACTTAAATATGAAAAGCCAAATGTGATGCTCAATCATTATTAACTGCATCAACTAAAGTTGAACTGTGCAGATGTACATTAACATTCTTATCATAACAAACATATTCAATGCAAAGTATATTTTTTGGCCATAATTTAATTGAGGTTTTTGGAAATATAGTCACACTTTGTTAAAACATCAGGAAAATCTTTGGGCATCCTATCTGGCACTTCATATACAAGACATTCGTAAAGTCATGCGTGACTTTACGAACAGCTTTATGAAACACCCCCCTGTATTCACATTGAAGAAAGAGAAACTTTTGAGCACAACATAACCTTTGAAACACTACATCAGAACATAATCATGATATTATGTTCGAACCACAGCTAGTTAAGGTACATAGATTAACTCTAGTTCAAACTACATGTATATTGAATTTTGATGCAACAACTATCCTCAAGGATCTTCACACCATTCACAAGCATCACAAAGAGGTGCTAGAAAAATAACATATTACAATAAACAGGTTGCAAATTGTATTGTAACAGTTGTTCTGGTTGTTGCTGTTTTTGCGCTGTCAAATTTGGGGAACTGCTTCGAGGGAGTTCCTATGCAATTTTGGGGGTCAATTGGGGGGGGGGGGGGGGGTAATGAGCACTAAAAATAAAATCGTTTTTTACTCTCTTTTTTACTCAACACCCCCCCCCCCCTCAAAAAAATAAATAGATAAATAAAAAAAAAGAGATTCTATACATCGAAGCACACATAGCAGCATTAGTATATTTTTTGTGTATTAAAAACTGTTCAGACGACCTCAGTTGAATCTCAACATTTCAAACACCACTGTACAAAACTTAACTGAGTTTTATTGATGACACCTAAATAGCAGTAAAGTACAATCTTTTCAACTTACCAATGTTAGAAAAAATTCTTTGAAAATTCAAATCGTAAGTCTACTCTCAAACTTTCCGATCAACCACTTTGTATTCATTGAGTACATTAGCGTGCAACTGTGTGCGATGTTTGTACTGTGTGCAATTGCATGATCCCTCTCAGCACGTAAGCAGCTCCATGGCTCTGCTTTGCTGGAGTGCATCGAAGCTGGAGAGCGGTGGGAAGGGCGTGGTGGCGTGGTGGCGTGGTGGGACGGCGGGAGAATGAGCGTGTGAGACTCCCTCCAAATGCGGGAGGATTGACAACCCTGACTTAAAGCGGTCTGATTCTATGACTTCTAATCTAATACAATATGGATTGTTTTTTCAAAATATGAAATGGTATAAACTACTTACGTTAAGCAGTAGGCCATCCCCTCCTTGAGTTCAGGTGCACTGCGGCTTATTTCGACGTAATCCCTCAACTGCAAGTCTAACGATGAATATAGTCCTATTACTAGACCGTGTGCTAAAATTCGACAGCGGTGCATGGTTTAAGTTGCGATACGGGCGAGACTTTAAACGTAAAACTTATGAATAATAATTCCAGCCAAACTCAGAATACTGTCCGGCTTTTGTCAAATCTGAGAATACTTGCTTGAGTTCAGAAAGTAGGATAGATCTCAAATGTCGACTCCACGTTCCAAACAGGCGGACATATGCATGAAGAGCATACTAGGAAGTAATAACACAGAGCGTCAGGAATTTGAGTTGAACGCGATCAAGTTATTATGAAAATGAAATAAATGTAACGATCGGGTAACAATGCCTCGCATGGTTCCACGCATTGTTTAATATTATACTATTGATTTGTATTTGTGACGAGTTTCATTGTTGCACGAGAAAGAAATATCCAAGGTCGAAATTCCAGTTGATACCAGTTGATACCGGAAAGTATTTCCAACTGGTATCTACTGGTTTGAACTGGTCTCAAGTCTCAACTGATAAACTGATACCAGTTAAAACCCGTAGATTCAATATGAAAACCAATAGAAATACCAGTTGAAAAACCG